GTTTTATATTACATACATGTTTTCATGTCAAATATGCACAATCTTTAAGTGGTCTTCGATAACTTACCTTTGTATTTTATTTAGCATTAACCTAGGTCGATAATTAACCAGATAGATGTGTTTTCTCCCTTGCATATAGACCAGGTTTAATCGCTCGGCATACTATCCTCCCCACACTCACATGTTTCAGTATAAGCTCATTATATTTATAATACACTGCTGGATTGTGTTACATTTCAAAGATATTGACACAGTAAGGACTTTACATATGCCAATGCAATTCAGTAAAAATGTTATACTAAATGCTATATGATTTTCGCGCAACACATATTCTAAAATACCCGGTAATTCAAAGAGGTTAAATATGCCTTTTTCATTGCCTTTCGGACAATCAGTTTCAAAAGTCTTGGGACAGATGCCACAAAACCTTTGAATTTCAACAAAACGTCAATTCCCCCGCCCCCTGTTCAATGTTGTGTTCCATTTCTCCTTAGGTTTGATGTGTTTTGGTTGGAGCAACATTGATTGGGGTGGGGGGAGGGGGAGAGGAGCGGTATCGTGTGTAAAAAACTGTAATGATCCACTTACAACCTAAAACTACATGTGTCCCAACAACTTCTGAAAGTGATTGTCTGGGCCCCATATGCCATAACACCATTGTATATCTCAAAAGTACAGGGGATAGAATGCTCTGCGAACGAAGTATTTCTACTCCATTTCGTTCCCAGAAGATCTAATATAACATTTTAAAACAATTAAGTCCATTAAAATTCTCAAAGTTAATAATTAACAGTATATGAATATAACTTGTTATGTCATATAGCATTCTTAATCGTTGTTTGGTTTTACAAATTTCTGCTGAGCACAAGTGGATTGTTTGAGAAGTTATATAGCCCGTCAATAAAAAGATAGGTATCGCGAATGTTTTACGCTAGATATCTGAGACTTACTGTTAATTTACAGCATAGTAATATAACATCCGGTTACTTTCGCATGCGGGTAACGACCGAGTCAACTGCTAGTTCGGGTACTCCGAAGGTAAAGAACGTTTGCCTTATAATCACTTATGGTCAATGTGACATTTCACATCTTTCTAGAGCACAATTTGCAGATATAATTGTCGACGCATGGGTAGGAAGGAGCACTAAGTAGGTGGGAATGTCGGAGGCTCATGGAATGGGCGATAGTCACTTCCACACGGCCAAAAAAATTGTCCACAAGATCGAGGTGGCGAGCTATCGGAAAGCTCGAGAAGAGTAAATGTGGCATTTAATTGAACCTTTCCGCAGACAATCTCAAAAATTACTATTCAGCGTATTCGTACGTGGTAAAGGAAGACCCGGACTTGGTGATTTAATTCTCCAGGGCTTATAGACCTCCCCGATGTTAGCGAGTACTAGCGAGTACTAGCGCGACCCGCAGAAACAAGAAAGTTGCACAGGCTTCCAAAAATATGTAACGAAAGGGACTCGCAGTATACGGCGTTGTACGCATTATACAACACTGACGTTAGTGTTATACGCTAATTATTCTAATAAGCGTTTCCGGACGAGACGATGCAATGAAACAAACATCGGTTGACACTTCGATTGTCACTAAAGAAATATGAAATAACAGGCAACTAGACATCTTTTAAAACAGAACAAGGCTGAGAATAATCTGTTGAGAATGTCTAACAATGCATTTTCTATTAATGAAAGGGTTTGAAATTGATTAAACCAAGTTTTGGATCGATTGACACTTTTTTACATAAATAAATCTGATATATCATAGTGATATTTCCAGAGTTGAGTGTCAATCGATACATTTTATAAAATTTATATACTTTGTAATTAAGTAGAACCCGTAATATATCAATAAGCGCTCCCTAAACACGTTTGCTCAGTACTTAATGTTCTGAAAATGATTATGCCGCGACAATTGAAAGTTATATCAATGAAAATGCTATGTGTTTCAAAGTGACAACCGAGCACGTGTTCAAGCCGTTTTATATTACATACATGTTTTCATGTCAAATATGCACAATCTTTAAGTGGTCTTCGATAACTTACCTTTGTATTTTATTTAGCATTAACCTAGGTCGATAATTAACCAGATAGATGTGTTTTCTCCCTTGCATATAGACCAGGTTTAATCGCTCGGCATACTATCCTCCCCACACTCACATCTTTCAGTATAAGCTCATTATATTTATAATACACTGCTGGATTGTGTTACATTTCAAAGATATTGACACAGTAAGGACTTTACATATGCCAATGCAATTCAGTAAAAATGTTATACTAAATGCTATATGATTTTCGCGCAACTCATATTCTAAAATACCCGGTAATTCAAAGAGGTTAAATATGCCTTTTTCATTGCCTTTCGGACAATCAGTTTCAAAAGTCTTGGGACAGATGCCACAAAACCTTTGAATTTCAACAAAACGTCAACCCCCCCGCCCCCTGTTCAATGTTGTGTTCCATTTCTCCTTAGGTTTGATGTGTTTTGGTTGGAGCAACATTGATTGGGGTGGGGTGAGGGGGAGAGGAGCGGTATTGTGTGTAAAAAACTGTAATGATCCACTTACAACCTAAAACTACATGTGTCCCAACAACTTCTGAAAGTGATTGTAGGCTTGCTTCCTCCGCCCCGCCCCCAAATCACCTAGTCCCAGTTTTTTCATGTGAAAAAGCGCTGAATATTAAAAATATATAAATAAGACTAGAAGGCCTAGGTCTAGGCTGACTAGATAGTATATATTTTCACACCAATTTCATTTTCCATACTATGGATATAGTATGGAAGTAGTACAGATTTACTATGGATTTAGTGATGCAATCGCAAATTCCGTAGTGCGAATTTCACCATTATTTTTTCATTGTAGGCCTGCAAAGTGTTGATAGTCGCATGAAAAGAATGCGCCTCATTTCTGGTCAAGCTATAAAATCAAACAATTTGGAAGTTGGAAATGTCAGAGCAGGCAAAACACGCATTTTTCTAAAAAATATTCCTGGGGAAAGTTTCTTTGTTATCATTTTGGTCTGAAAATATTTCCATCCAAAAACGCATATATGAAAGGACACGCCTACAGTTTACTTACAGCATAAACTGTATAAATATTTAAAAAACATAAATAATTCATGAGGAAAATATAAAAGAAATGAATGTTTAATCAATGTTTGTACATTGGATAAAGATTTGTCCGGATTTACATAAACTTCAGCTTTGATTTTCTTCGCTTAGACAATGTTTATTTTTAAAATTACTTCGCCAATGAACTCCTATGATGGGTCATCGGATTCGCGTCCGATCTGTATCTCATATACAAACTCTCGCCTTCAGCTTGAGTTTGTATATCAAATACAGATCGGCTGCTCATGTTTTATCTAGTACTTATAGTTCTAATCCGTCTTTCTTACATTGTAGCTAGTGGATGTTCAAAACGATTTTCCAATGAAATTTCACTTGATATCGAAGTAATAACAAAAAATCACATGGTAGTAAAAAATAATATGATTTGATTTTATAGGTACTCCTATGGAAAGTTGGTTACGGGAAGTTTGGAAGCGACCTTGTGTCTCAAATATGATACGGTGGTACGAAATTGTTTGACGGAAATAAAAAATGTAGGTATCTTGAGCACACACATTAAGCGACCATAACGTGTTTAGTGAAGCGGTATACAGTACCTACATGCTTAAGAATATCGGGTATAAGTTTATGAACTGTAATTATGTTTCATAATGAATTAAAAAATTATGTTACGAAATAGCCCAGAACATCAATTAATTAATTAATTATTTATCTTCTGTAATCAGTGGCAAATACTGCAATTTCATTGGTTTACAGGAGTGCGATTTAAGCATTAATCGCACCTTTTCTGAGCTGTAATCGCACTCTTGTCTACAGCCAATGAAAATCAGTCTAGTATTTACAACTAGCCAATCAGCATTCAGGATACAAACTTTGAATTTTATTTTCTTTATTGCTGTAAAAAATTTCAAAATGGAGGAATTCACAAATTTTGACCTTTTAATTTTTAAATCAGCCCTCAAAAACCGTCAAAATTGAGGTCGGAAAAAAAATGCCGACCTAAATCTAACCTAGCTTGGCACATCGCGGCATTTTTTTAAATGTGTTTCCATGTCTTGGAGCACTAGTAGCCTGCACTAGTGATCACGTATTTACGAATCATTGAAAAGTATAAATGTCACGAAGGTTTTTTTTTTAGTCTTACCTAAATTATATCATAATACCCGTTAATTCTTAAACCTTACACCAAAGTGTATCGAATTGTATAATCGCTGACTTTTTAACAGCTATAAGCACCAAAAAAGATTCTTACTTTGGCTGAATTAAGGTCGGCAAAACATTGCCGACCTGGGAGGTTGATAGGTCGGCATTTTAATACTGTAGGTCGGCATTGCCGAATGCCGATCTCGTTTTCGAGGGTTGTTAAATTATATATTTTCTGACGAAAATGACCTACCTATTCTTCCAGCAGAAGATACCGAACTATACACAACCAGGGAGTTATATTTCAATCCAATTCAGATAATTAACATAACTAAAGAACTTCACTATTTTGAACACGTTATAAACATACAAACATGGCTTCCCAATTGTGTGTTGAATAATTCAAACAAATGTTGTCATGTGATTATACCGGAAATAATGCCCGGAAGTTAATAATATGTTAATTTGATTATATATGATAGATAATAATTCAAAATTGTTCTATTTCATTAAGAATTGTCGTGACAAAAATTTAATAATTATATTGAATTTCAACAAATTGTATTTTTCCGCTTTTCCCCCTTAAACAGTTTGATTACAGAAGATAAATAATTAATAAGTAATAGAACGAATTAAGTCGTACTATTAATGCCACAATCATACTCGTGATTAACAAATCAACCTCCCGCTACGCGGTCGGTTGATTTTGTAATCACTCGTATGATTATGGCATTAATAGCACTCGTATTCGTTCTATTACCACCATTAATATCACAAAAACCGAAGGTTTACGATTCACGATGGCTTGCTTTAGCCTACAGATCGTACTGATCTCTAATGTAACACCTGAAATGGCAAAGGAGGTACACATTAAATCTAGTTGTGGTTGTTGCTCCAGTACTTCACGCAGCAGATGTAAACTAGGATATCGTTGAATCGTCGCTTAAATTATTCAAGCTGAGCAGAAAGCGTTTTTATGAGTGCTTGTGGAAGAAATATAACCATGAAATTCCATTGATTGAGGAGTTAGAAAGCACACATGCATTCATGTTACACTGTGGCACCTTAAACTGATAGTGCTATAGTTGTGCTGTATATAATGCGAAACTGTTATCGAAATAAAAAATCTTAATCTATGTGTTGGGAAATTAAAATAGTTGTGAAAACCCGCTTTAAATTCATGTTAGAAGACAATTTTCAGCCGGAACGCATGGGAGGATTTAATCGCCGGAGACCTTGATTAAAGTGTTGTAATGACAAATAAATAATAACGTCATCAGACAACGTAACTTCAACACACTTAGCAATGGAAACATCGTACATATATACATGATTGTCAAATCACTATATATGTGTTTTTATTTTTTGTCTTATTTTCCAGTTTCCATGCATGCAACAGTCCTTTTCCTATATTAATTAGTCGCCCTTAATACGAGAAGTTTACTTTGTCCAGACGTTTAAGGCATTTTCTAATGCAAATACGGTTAATTTATTATTTTACAGGTGACAGGATGCGTAGAGATTAATGCAAGAGAATTAGTTGACCCTGTAACAGAATATCCGGCTTACAAAACAAATAACTACTATCTACAAATTCAAGCAACATTTACTGAGACGTCTACTGGAGTAAAACTGAAAGAAAACGCTCGAAGCCCTAATATGGTCGAAAAATCCAAAACCATGTCATTTACTAACATTCCGCAAAAGTTCAAACCTGGATTTCCTATCACTTTTAAGGTATCGAAATTGAATTATATTCCATATGGTCTTCAGATCATTGTTGAACTTTTCAGAAAAAAAAAGAAAAAAAAACTTTTTCTTTTAAATCGGTCAACTCTGCCAGTATATTGACAGTGTGTCAATGGATAAACTGCTTGTGTCTACTTTACTAACATCATAGTGAATGAACTCGAATACTTAATTACAAAATCACTAACTCATCTGGAATTTTAAAGTTATATACGGTTGCTAGAGTGTGGTAAGCCCGTTCACATGCACTAGGCGAATTTGTTCGCGCGAACAGTAAAAAAATAGGAAATGATCCAACTTTTTCGCTGCTTATTTTCTCGCTGACCAATCACATTGCGAAGATTTGTTTTTCGGTTCGCGTCGCGCGAAAAAATTCGCCTAGTGGACAACGGGCTTTAATGACACACTTGTCCTCGCAAAACATCGTGCTATTCCTTTGCTCCTAATTAAAAATAACTATTCTCGCACGAAAATACAGCTTACTGAAGAAATATTTTCCAATGGAATAAACCGCTGAAAATGATCTTATAAAAACTGCAGATCCTCCAGCAAAGAAACAGGCTTCTGTTGTCTATTGATTTACTTTTCCGCTTTTAAGGGGACAAGTAAATCAATACACAACAGAAGCCTGTTTCTATATTCTATATATACTATATTTTCCTTTGAAAATCGCTGGCATGAGAATGTTATTTCACTCTTGTAATACCTTATATAAAAATTTAAAAATTCTTGTACATTGGCAAAACATGAAGATGTCTGATATACAGTATAACAAGAGTAAAATAACATTCTCATTCCAGCGATTCTCAAATATAGGGGCATATTAATTCTTGTGAACACTTGAGTAATTTTAATTCATTCTTGCTTTTTCAATTTCAAGACCAAGCTTTTTTGGTCTGAAATACTGTTTTTCACTAGTAGTATAACTGTTGTCAAATCTAGAGCCTACATGGCCATTGCCGTTATAAATGGAAGCTTTGTACTAAACCAACTCGTATAACCGCTTCTTATTATTAATTAAAGTGCATATGACATGAAATTTATTATTTTTTTGAATGAAAGAACTCTTTAAGCTGTAGTGTAACTTGGATTTCAGTTTCTTATTTTTTTTAGTTTGTTCCACAGATATTTAAATTTGTTTGATATGTAATAGAGTGTGAATATGTCCGTTAATTTATGACGTCACGTTGGCTATAAATGTATTAACTCTAAAAACTGAAAATATCAGTTCACGTTTTTTTCCAGTGTTTCATCACATTTACCAGCGAGGGAAGTTTGAAGTTATCATCTTGGATGACAGCATGCAGTGATATTCAACCATTTTGAGGAGCTTGCAACCAACGTGACGTCATAAATTAGCGGACATATTCACACTCATTTACATGTCAAACAAATTGAAATATCTCGGGAACAAACCATAAAAACAAGAAACTGAGATATAAGTTAAACAACAGCTTAAAGAGTTCTTTCATTTAAGAAAATAATAAAGTTCATGTCATATGCACTTTAAAGCGTCAAAGGAACTGATTAACTTACAACTCAAGTACATCCATTGACATATTTCGTATCACCTACGAAATGTTATATCACATGCACCAGTACGTACTTGTACATACAACTACTGTACAACTTGTAAAATTTAAATGTAAAGTATTCGGCAATTTCATTATTTTAATATACTTCGTCCTTGCCACAAGTAATTGCTCATGACAGTAAATATTGCGACAGTTCATGCACCCTGTTTTTAGTCGCTGAAACATGTTTTCAGTTCTAGTTTTCACTTTGTCTAGAGAATGACTAAAAATTATTCAAAATGTCATCTCTATTATTGATAAAGTTTTGCTTTCCTTCAAGATTAGAATCAATCATCTGGATGGAAAACCTGTGACTACTGGCAGACTTACACTTGAAGTCTCTGGACGTCGCTTTAATAAAAGGTCGCTTGGCACATTAATTCGGCAAACATATTCTGTTAAGAATGGTTTGATATATGTCATTTTCAGAAATGTACCTATTTATACGGATACCCTCAACTTTAAGGTAAGTCTTCGTTTTATTGGTTACTGTACCTACTGGTTTTCATCATGTGCATGTCCTGAGAAAACGCTTTTGACATTTGAAACATTTGTTTGTGATAAATGTCAGAACATTCTTGTCCACTTATAGTATCCTGAACTAGCTCAAGAATCCCTTTGGCTATTCCGAACCCCAAATTTCAATCAGAGTCCATTCAACTCTTCTTCCACCAATCAAATCTTCTGTCCAACAAACGCCTTCATAATAATTCGCTTTATTGTTATCTTTCAAACATTTTAGGCCAACTACAATTTTGGTCAGTTAGAAAAACGTCAATCTTCCAAAGCTTTGTATTCCCCAAGTTTATCTTATCTGACATTGGTTTTACCTGAGAATGTGACAGCAAAGGTAAAAATTTTATATCCTATCACTTGCCTACTGGGTTGTTCGGTAATCTCACCATAGCAGATTGATATAGAAGTGTTCGTGCACAATATTATAAGACTCCTCTAAAATACATTATTTTATATCAAAAGATTCACTTACGAGATAAAAGGCCTTTCCAGCTTCTAGTCTTTATATTAACTTCTTTTAGGTTGGGAGTAAAGGATCTTTGAATGTTTTGTATACCGTTCACAATGATAAGCTGGAAGAGATTCCCTTTCACTATAAGGTATTGTTGTTTGGATTATGTTAATTAACGAGATGCTAAAGAGTGCTCGATCCATATCATACAGATAGAGCGCGATAGTGTAGTTTTTATACGAAACAAACATTGCATGAAAAGTTAAAGAATTACGCGTTTTGTTACGTTTTGATATATAATATAGACACCGCGTGTACGCTTTGGTTGCTAGCCGCTTTATTTCTTCTTTGTTGGTATCAATTGTTATCGTCGGGTCCAAGTTGGAACAACTACGAAAGCAAATTAACTAGAATAAATTATTGAACCGAAAGGTTGTCGTTTCATATCTATCTCCTGAATTTCTATACAACTTAAATGCTTATAAATCAAGAGTTTTATCGTATCTTATATTTACAGGGCCAATTTAGGGCAGAATTGTGCCGGATTGAAATCCAGGCGTTTCCACATATACAAAAAAGCTAATTCCAAAGAGAGTGAGAAACATGATCTTTATAATATGGAACCTATCATTTAAAAAATAAAAAAATAGTTTATAGGGCTTAAAAATTTAGTTTAGCGTCAAGTTCCAACTGGACCAACAACCACTGTGGAACTATAATTTTCTCGTTTCATTTATTTCATTGTGTTAAACGACTTCTATGTCAGGTATCTGGGTAATATTCTACTTTTCCTTAATTTGAGATGCATGATGATACTTTCCCGATCGGGCCCAATAATTTCCACCCACCCCACAATTTCGCTCCCAGTGAAGACTCGCACTTAAGTGTGGGGAGATTCCTAATATATTCGCACCCCCCCCCCCTCTTTAGGAAGTCCTCGCCGGTCTCCCTTTAGAAACGTCGCATTTCCTGCACAGAAACTATTTATCATTTATAGGCCCCGAACGAGGGGGATTCGGCGTAATATTTCCCGAAGTGATGATATTTCCGAGGGGCTTTGCCCCGTGGAAAATATCATCACTGAGAGAAATATCGCCGAATCCCCCGAGCGGAGCGTCTATAAATGATATATTATACCGAAAGTTAAAGAACTCACTAAGTTCAGAATAAACTTTAAAACTTGCTGAATATTAACTACGCGAATACAAGTTTTAATTTCTTATGTATACCTTAGTTTTTGACGTTTCCTCTTTAACATATTTGAGCATGTACCCCTTGGATCATTAAAGGTAACATACGCCTTGAAAATGTTTTGTTAAATCAAATATTCTGTACGAAAATGCGAAATTACAAACAACAGCTCGCGAACGCCATATTGTTTCAGAGCGTAGTGTCCACGCGTAGTGCGTGAGCGTGGGATACTATAATATCCCACGGTGGATAGCCGTGGGATAGTATAGTATCCCACGCTGGATTGCGAAATCATGAATTTGAGTAAAATACTGTAAAAAATCGCATTATCACGTGGTACAAATGCTGTTTTTCCATTGGACAATTTGAATTTGAGGTGTAATAGGTATGTGTTTATATACCATGATCTTTAACCTTTAAATTCATTCTCTTTTTAGATTCTGTGTAAAGGGAATCTGATACTGTCTGGTGTCATCAAAGTCGCTCGGGATAGACGCCTCAGCTCGAATAGAAACCAAAGATCTTTTACTTATAATGGTAGAACCATACAAAGAACAAGTGTCAACAAATTTGAACTTAAGTTCAACATTACCCAGGAAATGGTTCCAAGCTGTAGAATTCTGGTCTATTATATCAAGAAGGATAAAGAGACCGTTGGGGACAGTATTGTGTTTGATGTTGAAGACAAGCTTGAAAATCAGGTAAGAACTTAAGTACGTAAAATATACTTTCACTTGCTTCTCTGGTTTGAAGAAACTGATAAATTTGATCTCTCGTAGAATTAGGTTCAGGAGCGAACGTTTCAACGTTTCAAACTGGTTTCGTCGTAACGTTGGTATCTGCACGGTTGAGGGCTGTTATAATATGTCAAATCCGGGTCTTGTCCCCAAGATTGTAATTTTGTCCCTACATCCTATTATATAATTTTCTTCACACGTGCGAGACACCTTTGATAGCTTACTGGCAGTAGCCAGGGCCATATCTAGGCGCGATAATTGGCGTTCGTATATTCACATATTCATGTTCACATACCGTAAAACAATCGATTTCGAAACAAATCCTTCGGGCAAAACACGAATTGTTGTAGGCCTTGACAATAGTCAGCCATTAGAAGATTGAACATAAATTCTATTTTCTTAAATTGAAACTGTTAGATTAAAACTTAAATTGTTAGATTGAACGTCACATGATCGTGAACTGACAAAGGCGTTTATGGCAGAAAATAGACCGCCTGTTTTCCTTATAACAACCAGAAACAGCTTTTCAATTTTTTTTCACACTGCGTATAAATATCAACTTAGGGAAGCTATCAGTTGGTATCTGAGTAATCTCAGATACCAACTGATAGCTTCCCTAAGTTGATATTGATAGGCAGTGTGAAAAAAAAATGAAAAAGCTGTTTCTAGTTATCATAAGAAAAACAGGCGGTCTATTTTCTGCCATAAACGCCTTTGTCAGATCACGATCATGTGACGCTCGATCGAACAATCTAATGGCGTACGTGCCGACATTTAAAAAGCATGGACATTGGTTTAGTTAACAATTTCAATTTATTGTCTCTTTTAGTGACAATAATTATTTATCCTGAATTTATCATATATCGTCTACGCATATAAGTTGACGTTAACTAAACATGTCCAATTATATCTTTCGCTCATTACATAGATACGACGTACACGACAATGATGACAGAGTCATCGATATGCTGTGACCAAAATAGTCTGGTTTCTATGTTTTCCCAGACCAGCTCTACACCATTAACGAAAGTTGGACAATGAAATACATGAAAGTAATTATTTCGCTAAACAAGCATTCTCTGCGGCATCGTTTTTTAGGTATCGGTTGATTTTGTTGACGCGCATAAAAGACCTGGTCAGAAAACGAAGATCGTAATGAAAGCAAAACCTGGGTCTCGTGTAGCGATTTCTGCCCTTGATAAAAGTGTTCTATTTTTGAGAGATTCTGAAGATGTAACGAAAGAAGAGGTGTGTGGTTAAATTTTTATTATCGCGTTATAAGATAATTTAGACCATGGATAGCTTCCTCGCCGAGTCAAAGGCTCTCTTAGGAGGCATCCGGCAACCGTCTTATGATTCTTATGTGCATGAACTGTCGCTTTGTTTGGGGGTCCATGATCTCAGATGCATCATATTCTCAGATTGCACCAAGATCTCAGATTGCACAAATTAGGAGGGTCACTTTCGATCCTGTTTAGCAAAATCCTCACCAATACACGCGCTCATTCTGGCGCATTCTATGTTATGGCTTGCTTCGTTCAAGTATGTTCAAGTATCATGAGTGGTTTTTTCAGCAACCAGTGCAGTTATTTGTTAATTTAAAGTATTGGCATCCGCGATTGTTCATCCTTCAAAAGAAATCATATGTAAAGGGGGACTGAAACCAATTAATGCACTAGACTATGCCAATATTGACAAAACTAATTAGTATAGGTAATCATGCGATGGCGAGTGCAATTAGGGATTAATAGTACAAGTGATGTTTGGAAATTTTGCCAAAATTTGACGAGCCGCCTGGGCGAGTCAATGTCAACATCAATATCATCAATGACAACATCATATTTCCTCACCAAAACCTAGTCCTTCGAGACTTTCAACCAAAATTTTGTGCTTTTGTTCGTATTTTCATTTAGCTCTTTTGTTAAAGCAACATTTGGTGCTTTTGTTCGTATTTTCATCCAGTTCCTCTACCGCAATTTCATTTCATATTTGTGTTTAAAATACCTTTCCGCCATTTTGTTTGTTTTGAGAAAATCATTAATTGTACTGCAGTACAATTAATGATGGTAATAGAACGAATAGGAGTGCTATTAATGCCATAATCATACGAGTGATTACAAAATCAACCGTCCGCGTAGCGGGAGGTTGATTTGTTAATCACGAGTTTGATTATGGCATTAATAGCACTCCTATTCGTTCTATTACTTATTAATTATTTATCTTCTGTAATCAAACTGTTTAAGGGAGAAAAGCACAAAAATACAATTTGTTGAAATTCAATATAATTATTCAATTTTTGTCACGACAATGAGTAGTGAAATAGTAAATTTTGAATTATTGTTTATCATATATAATCAAGTTAACATATTATAAACTTCCGGGCATTATTTCCGGTATAATCACATGACAACATTTGTTTGAATTATTCAACACACAATTGGGAAGCCATGTTTGTATGTTTATAATGTGTTCAAAATAGTGAAGTTCTTTAGTTCAGTTAATCATCTGAATTTCATTGAAATATAACTCCTGGTTGTGTCTAGTTTGGTGTCTTCTGCTGGAAGAACAGGTAGGTCATTTTCGTCAGAAAATATAAAATTTAACAACCCTCTAGTCGAAAACGAGATCGGCATTCGGCAATGCCGACCAATAAAATGCTGACCTATCAACCTCCCCGGACGGCAATATTTTGCCGACCTTAATTCAGCCAAAGTAAGAATCTTTTTTGGTGCTTATAGCTGTTAAAAAGTCAGCGATTATAGAATTCGATACACTTTGGTGTAAGGTTTAAGAATTAACGGGTGTTATGATATAATTTAGGTAAGACTCTAAAAGGAAAGCTTTCGTGACATTTATACTTTCAATGTTTCGTAAATACGTGATTACTAGTGCAGGCTACTAGTGCTCCAAGACATGGAAACAGATTTTATAAAATGCCGAGATGTGCCGAGCTAGGTCAGATTTAGGTCGGCATTTTTTTCCGGACTCAATTTTGACGATTTTCGAGGGCTGATTTAAAAATTAAAAGGTCAAAATTTGTGAATTCCTGCATTTTGAATTTTTTTACAGCAATAAAGAAAATAAAATTCAAAGTTTGTATCCTGAATGCTGATTGGCTAGTTGTAAATACTAGACTGATTTTCATTGACTGTAGACAAGAGTGCGATTACAGCTCAGAAAAGGTGCGATTAATGCTCAAATCGCACTCCTGTAAACCAATGAAATTGCAGTATTTGCCACTGATTACAGTAGATAAATAATTAATGAAATAATTGTACTCCTCTTAAGCAATCAGCAACCAGTAATTTTCATGCTAATAATAAACTTAACTAGAAAATACATGCATGCAGAAACCCTCGCCTTGCTGACAAAACCATTGTATTTTCCGAACATAAAGTATGTGAAGTAGTTGTCATGGTAACACGATAATTTTTTAAGAATATTCTTACAAAAGGAAAAATCGCCAAAAATATCAATTTTAATTACAAAATTATCAATTTCCCAACATATATATGTTAGGTATGTTATTATCCCGAGCGGACGGCGCGAAGCACCGTGCGAGGGTACTAATTCCTCCCCGGCTATTTACACCCGAGGAAACAAAAGCATTAGCCAAGTCTAAGGTTCATCAATGAGCGCGGGCGCGGGTTACCGTGAGTGGATCGGTGGGTGGTCATCCTCACTGATCTAAAAAATATGACGGACTGTCATGAATAGCGGACACTGATTGGTCCAATTTCAAGTTTGCATTACAACGACAGCACGAAATAGCAAACATTTCTTGATTTGACGATTGATAAATTTCTTGCAAATACATTTCATTTTTCTCGCATTTTTGCAAGATTTTGTAAATTTCAAGAAAGAAAGGGCGAAAAAATCGGCTAAAAAAAGGGAGCCGACGTTAACGAAGGTAAGTTTGTTTTAAATATTGATTTTATAATGGATTTAAAATCCGACGGCCTTTGCATATATGGAACAACTAAACACGACAGCATATAATTTCAGTGTATCTTTATAATATTGATTCCCTTTTTTGTTATATTGAATTTTTTAAATAAAAAAGAAAGCAAAGTTATTTTCATGCGAGAATTTGAAATCATTTTATTGCAAACTCAAAGTAATTTATCGATAAAGCCATTTAATTGTTAAAGGCAGTTTAGTTTTATAAAGAACACTTTATTATTTAATTTAATTAAAACGTTTTGCGAAGCGTTTCTGGTTGCATTTTGCCTTAAATTGAAGCTTATATTACGTATAATAACATACCTAACATATATATGTTGGGAAATTAATGTGATTAAAAGTGATATTTTTAAGAGGTTTTTCATTTGTAAGAACATTCTTAAAAAATTAACGTGTTACCATGACAACAACTTTAGATACTTCATGTTCGGAAAATACAATGGTTTTGTCAGCAAGGCGAGGGTTTCTGCATGCATGTATTTTCTAGTACGTAATATAAGCTTCAATTTGAGGTAAAGTTCAACCACAAACGCTTCGCAAAACGTCTTAAAATGTTTTCTATAAAACTAAACTGCCTTTAATTAAATGGCTTTATCGATAAACTTTGAGTTTGCAATAAAATGATTTCAAATTCATGCATGCAAATAACTTTGCTTTCTTTTTTATTTAAAAAAATCAATATAATATGAAAGGGAATCAATATTAAAGATACACTGAAATTATATGCTGTCTTGTTTGGTTGTTTCACATACGCAAAGGCGACGGGTTTTAAAGCCATTATAAAATCAATATTTAAAACAAACTTACCTTGTTAGCGTCGTCTCCCTTCTTTCAACCGATTCTTTCGCCGTTTCTTTCTTGAAATGTACAAAATTCTGCAAGAATGCGAGCATAAATAAAATATATTAGCAAGAAATTTATCAATCATCAAATCAAGAAATGTTTGCTATTTCGCTGTCGTCATGCAGTCGTTATAATGCAAACTTTAAATTGGACCAATCAGTGTCCGCTATTCGTGAGACTCCGACATATTTTTAAGATCAGTGAGGATGACCACCCACCGAACCACTTACGGTAACCCACGCCCGCGCGCATTGACGAACTTTAGACTTGGCTAATGCTTTCGTTTCCCCGGGTGTAAATAGCCGGGGGCAATTAGTACCCTCGCACGGCGCTTCGCGCTGTTGGCTCGGGGATAAACATTCATTCTAGAAAATTCTAGCAGTTATTTCTCAGCTTCCTCCTTCCTTGTTGTGTCGCTAACTGACATAGCAGCCAGGTGAGCCAACCTCACCAGCGTTGGCTTGAACTAGTGTTAAAAACAGTATTAGGGCGAGGGTGACATCAACCACAACTGACGCCCGTGAGATTGTCATCTCCATATCATCTAGTGTCGTAAAACAGGCAACGTCTAAAACATGGAATTCGAATGGACCATCTGGAACAACTGGAACATCTGGAACAACTGGAACATATGGACCATCTGGAACATCTGGAACATCGAAAAATTCAGTTTCTGCACATTTTTTTGGCATGGTAGACTTTACGTATGGCGGATTACGGATTGCGGATTGTGAACACATGCAAATCGTTTATTTCTTCGGGAAAAAGCCACAAGAATTTCCTGTAGCTACTTGTAGCTATGCTATGCTCCCTAGGAAATGGCTATATATGTCTTGGTTATAACGCAGTATATCTGCGTTAGAATGAAGCAGCCGAATAAACCAAGTTTGAATAAAATGAAACACTCAGATTCAAAGATTTCGTAAGACACCTCGCGTGTATAGCGTATAATCTACTTTTCTAAATGGCAAAACAACATTTGCAAAGGATATTATATCAATATAACGATAAGTTACATTACTCAGTTGGTAAACAGACATGATAAGGGAGTGTTCATTATTTATACCCGGGGTTGGTACAGAAGAGAAATGGGTTCGGTAAGCTATTTTTCTGGGGTATGAAGGGTTGGGTAAATATTTTTTGAACAAAGCCTATGGTTGGGTAAATTATTTTCAATACAAGCTTCAATTGAACAAAATATGAAAATTCTTTCCTTAACAAAATGGGTCATTCAAGGAAAAATCCATTCATTCCCCACATAGAAAACTAAATTCCAACTTCTCACCCTCTTTGTGAAGGTACAAATGATTATATTTGGCATTCAGTTAGCGCACCAAATATGCACAGTACTGTTTATTAGTGGCCTAGCTTGTATACTAATATATATGTATATATATATATATATATATATATATATATATATATATATATATATATATATATATATATATATATATATATATATATATATATATATATATATATATATATATATATATATATATATATATATATATATATATATATATATATATATGTAAAATTGGGTTGGGTAAAATAAAAATCCAAGTCATGCTATTGCATGGGTGTTTTTTTCACTTTTCGATTAGTTTCTCTTCGGTACCAACCCCAGGTATAAATAATGAACACTCCCTAATTCAAAGTTCTTGTTCATCTTATTAGACGGAAAATGGCCAAGTGGGCCGTCTACCTTAAGAACTTTGAAAATTAAAAATAAACTTTTTTTGCATAAAAGTTATGATTAGTATGTGTAGAAAGTTGTCAAAACAAAATTGGGTCGGATACCACCTTCCTTTCTCTCAAAATTGCATTTTTTTGAAAGGGTATGCAACCATCTTTCCCGTTGCCATGGAAACGCATTTATATTTACTGTTTGTTAGGCCAGTTTTCTTGGTTGTTTGTGGGCGTTTGATGTTTTTGTTGTATTTATGATATTCCACACATGAGCGACTGGTAACGATGTTAAGGCCTGGTCACTAAGCCATTGAACACCACATTTTACTTTGTTGTTTGAGAGAATAGCTATCAACACTGAGAATACATCAAAGATATATATTTTGGCTGGGCTGTATTTTATTTTGTTGTTTATTTGTAACTGAAAATAGTCTCTTAGAGATTATTCTTTCTTGGCAATGCCAAAAGTGTCGAAAAAGAAGACATTTCGTGGCCAAAATCGATGGAATACTTTGAGTCCAATCGAGCCTTCTGAGCTCGCTTCTGAGCCTGTTTTGTCCTCAACATCGACGCCATATCGATCAACACCAGTCAATGAAACTGCTTCCATACGAAAGATAACAAGTCAAAATAACGATAGAAGAGAAGATTTCGATGGGGAATATGGTTATAGACTGATTGAACTTTCAAATTTAGGTAATGCATTTCAGTCTTTACATAATTGTGAATCAGGGGGAGAGTTGAAAGTTACTGATGATGAGGCTCGTAGATATGGAAATAGCGCAGTTATCATAATTGAGTGCTCTAAATGTGACACTAAAATTGAGCTTCAAACTTCGGGAAACAAGAATCAGGGATGGAACCCAAAAAATTCCATTGACATCAATCGACGAATGGTTTACTCCGCAATGGAAATGGGAGTGGGGAGAGATGGAATGTCGGTTATGTGTGATATTTTCAACATGCCGGCGCCTCCTTGCCATCCTAATGCTTGGAAAAATCATGTGATTGCACTGTATGAAGCCCACAAGAAAGCTGTTTCTGAGCAGTTACAGGAAGCAAGAGACAAAGTCTTTTCACGCCACAGTGACAATGAGTCCGATGAGGCAGAGATTGCTGTTAGTTACGATGGCACATGGTCAAAACAAGGGTACACAGCAAACTTTGGTATTGGCTTTGTTATTTCAGCTGACACTGGTTAGGTATTTGACTATGACTTTGAATCAAAGATATGTAGAGAATGTCAAATAGCAAAGAAGGATCTGGGGGGAAGATTCCCCTGAGTTTGATATTTGGTTTGGTGGTCACCAGGAACAATGTACCCAAACTCACACTGGTTCAAATGGATCAATGGAGTGCTCTATCGCCAAGAAGATATGGGGCTGGTCAAAGGAGAACAATCTTCACTATAAGTTTATGATTAGTGACGGTGATAGTAAAGCCTATGCTAGTATCTGGGATACATGTGGTTGCTGTGCTGATTGTGAGAAATGGGAAAACACCGACAAACGTTCAGCTGAGTATAAGAAATGGCATGAATCTAGGGGTTATGTAGAACGGAAGAAAAGTCATGAGAGTGGGAAGGCCGATTGTTCCAGGGTGACAAAGTTGGATTGTGTTGGGCATGTACACAAAAGAATGGGAAGTCATTTGCGGGAACTAAGAAAGAAAGTAACCAAGCTGAAGGATGGGAAATCGGTGAAGGGAAGAAAACATCGACTGACAGACAAAGTGATAGATAAGCTCCAGACATACTATGGCAATGCAATCAGAGCAAATGTCAAACCTGGGAAGCTAACTGCACAACAGCAAAAGGAGCAAATATCCATCAAGCAACAGGCTATAATGGCAGTTCTATAGCATTTATGTGAACTTATTTATGACAAAGAGAGACACAAATTTTGTCCATCGGGACCTGATAGTTGGTGTTCTCATAAAAGAGAAGGAAAACTTCAGAGAAAGGACCATCATTTAGATGCAGTTTTCTTGGAGTTTCTGCTCCCTGAATTCAAGCGTCTGGGTCAGTATTCTCTTTTAATTCGTTGCCTTCCCGTTCATTCGCAGAATGTCAACGAGAGCTTGAACAGTCTTATGTGGAATCATGCCCCTAAACACCGACTTAAAGGACCTCGAGTTATTGAAAATGCTGCAATGTCAGCTGTTCTGGCCTTCAATTGCGGTGCTGCATCAAGACAGGATGTCATGAAGGCTGCAAACATCCCTGGTGGTGAGTTTACCCTGGAAGGCTGCAAGAAAAAAGATGCGACAAGGATGAGGCAAAGTCAAAGTTGAAGAAAAAGGAAAGGAGGAGGAAAATCAGAGAAGCCAAGATTGCAGCAAATCAAAAGAAAAGTAAATCCTCATATGCCAGTGGGAAGTTCAACGATGTTGACCCTCTTGATTATGCTACATCATCGTCTGATGATGATGACTATCCACTAGCTAGACTTTTAGCGGACAATGATTCCGAGGACAGTAATTCCGAGGACAGTGATGATGCCCCATTGGCACATTTCATCAGCAAAAGACAATGAAAGTGACATTTTAACATTCCAGCAGTGATATATATGTGTTGGCTTTAGGCAGGTATATTACAGTAATACATTAAAAAACGCTTGTGGTATAGCTAACTAACTTTAAATGGCGTTTTCTCAAAAACCGTATTTTGGTTTTCGGCCATTACCTAAATCCTAAATACTCCAAATGTTTTTAAGCAATGTTGCTGATTTTTTCTGAGATTGTTCTTTAGGTATCTTTGCACAAATTAATGGATGCTTTCTACACTCTGATAAAAATTGGAGTTCTATACCAAAATTGGTGTTAATGAATAACATCCTTACCTAATATTCATTGTCATGGCAACAAAATAGAGTGTTACACAAAAAGCATCCATTATTTTCTTGACTGGGATGTAATCTATTATACAACTTAAATGTTTCAAGTTTTGATGCTTAAGTTTTTACTAGATAGATTTCAAACATAGACGGGTTAAAAATTAACCTTTTCGGATTTAGATGGTTCTTATACATTTAAGTTCTTTCCTTGGAGGTCATTTGTAATGATATTTGTGTAGATAATGTTCTAAGCTTTAAAATGATATATGAGATGTTGCATATACATTAAACCATAATAAGATAGAGCTACTGTTGTACATAG